AGTGTCATATTTGACAGTAAATAGGGCCCAAATGGGGCTCCCATTTACTGAAATACCATGAATTTCGACCCCCCATTCCAAACGTGAGTACCCCAGGCCATTTCCGTTACAGTATTATAAACCTTATTAAGACAGACCCTTATTTTGTTCAGCGAATCCAAAAATGCAATAATATAAAGGACATTCCATTTAAAAAAACGCAACTTTGATACCTTTAGAGCTTTTGGGACACGTTGTACATCACAAAAATATTTTTAAAATGTGCGCTCGGTAGGCGTCGGACAATTCATAAAATAATACTTTTAAAATAAAAATCATACGGTTTAGTGCAACGTCCGTGCCGTATAGCGTGAATAACCCTGTATATTTACTAGAACCGGACAAAATTGAACTCACATTATGCTTCTTGAGTGTCTTCACAACTGTAGAGAGTCCATTCTGCAAGTTCACAGAAGAAGGTCTCCATAGCAGGATTTCATTGAAAACAGTTCCAGATAAAATGAGCAGCTCCTTCCACCGCTTAAAACATATATAGGCACTATACACAAGGCACTTTACTTCGCATATGACTGATGTTTGCGAACGAAAATCCTGAGTCCATAAAATAACTTCATTGTGCATAGAGACTGTAACAAATTTGGTATCATCGTCGATCCATCGCGCGCACAGTATCCAATCGGTCAATGAGTGTTCCTCAGATTTGCCTAGTTCGAGACTATCGCAGCAAACGGGTACTAGAGTGATACTCTTTTGACCATAGACGATCAGTTTATTCAGTTCTGAGTTCGGTTTTATGCCAAATATTACATCACTTTTGAAAACGTTCTGTTTCTTCACTAAATGATTATCTGCGTCAAAAATGTTCAAACACCGTCCTATACCTGAAAAATTATTAAACAGTAAGCTGAACGTTGTACAGTTGTAAAGCTGGTGTTTGATTGAGCAAGTTATTAATATCTAGCTAACTATCCAATAATATTAGCTACTAAAGTTCAATTAATTCATTTATCGCCCACCCTTTTAAATTTTATTTTAGAGTTTTGTGTGATTTTAGCCCAAGTGGATTGTATGTGTTTTTCAAGACTCAAAATAATTCTTAATGATTAAACTAATAAAATGACATAAATGTACGAGTGTATTGTTGAACACTTACCAGCAAAAACGTGATTGGCAATTACTTCTATACATGTAACGTTTGTGTGTAAATGTACAGAAGTAAAGAGGCTTTTTTCTTGGTCGACCATGATTATAAATTATCTAAGGACATATTGTATTTGCCCATCACCCACTTTGCATCTGGATATTTAGCGGAATAGTGGCATTTCGGTCCTGCTCACCATATCTTAATTTCAATTTATATTACCCAAATTTTCCATTTCACTTTTAAACTTGATCATTATTCGGGTTATGTTCATAGATAAAGACGGTTATGTTCAGACCTACAGAAGGAGGTGGAGCCACAGATTATCAAACTATGAAGGAGGAGCTAAACATAGCACAGTCCAACGTTGCCGTTTACCACGAGTGGTATTGAACTGTATACAAGTACATTGGTACTTTAGTATAGAGTTCATTGGTTGGGTGGGTCATAAGTAGCTACATACAAATTAAAATAACATGAATTGTGTGGGATTCTAGCTGTTTTCCCATTAAAACTCCTCACCGCTAAGGTAGCATCCAACCATAAAACAAGACTTATATGCAACTTATCCAACTATGCATTGTTACAATTTCTGGCCTAATTGTGTTCTCGTCTCCTCAGTCCTTTAAGTTTAAAGAGGTAGCGAGCAAATATCAGGCACAGGAGGTTAGCGTTACGCTATTTTTCTGTCGCTCTAGTAAAAGCAATCCCTCGCGTGTGTCTATAGATGGCGCTGAAAGTAGTATTTGGTTTCAAGGTTGACTTTTCACTTGACACCTATCTTTATATCTTTCACTTGTCTTCAACATAGTTTGATAATCTGTGTCTTCAACTATGACACCTATGCTTGACACTTCACTTGTGGTGTGAATAAACAACTAAGAGGTTTTACTATTGTATGATACTATTGGAATATTGCTTATTATCGAGGCTTACTTTAAAACTATTATGCAGCAAGTGCTGTTAATTAGTGCAATTGTCAGAAGACGTGGATATCTGTTCTGTAATCAACATTTCGGCAGTGCAGTGCCAGCATGCAGAGTGACGAGCCTGTGATGAAAGGGTATCTCCTATTACCCTCCAATGGGAAGATATTAAAAGTAAGGGACTACACTTTATATCATTTAAATTGAAAAAGTACCAGATTCATTTGAAAAATCCCCTCACTAACTTTTACTGAACATGGATTTTTCCACAGAAAACATGGCAAAAAAAATATTGCGTTTTATATGAACGAAGCAGCAGTGGATTGGCCCGCGTTGAAATATACGAAAATGTACAAAGAACTGGACAAGCGAAAATTGTTACACTAGAAGATGTGGTTAAGATATCACCAAAAGCCACCAAACAAATCAACATTGTAACCAAAAATGCAATCATGGAATTTGAGACCATAAACGACGAAGATTCCACACTTTGGTTCGAAATGTTGAAAAAAGTGGCTTTTTCAGATGGAGAGAGTGCGAAGAACGACGGCATAGAGCAGGACAATGAGTTGTATTGCTCAGTAGACGAGGGTCAGTTTCATTTACACATGCATTTCATTCTGAATGTTACCAATGTGTTTTTTGTAAGCAGGGGTTTTCTTTGTAAAACTTCATCCGTCAGAGGCTTCGCAGAGGTGCAACCTAATAGAAAAAACCTACATTCTTCAAGTCACCGAAAGCGCTCTTCATCTTCTCCATCCAGACAATACATTGTTATACAGTTGGCCTTTTAGCTTTATTCGGAAATATGGCTACAAAGATCGCAAATTTACCTTCGAAGCTGGACGAAAATGTGCTACCGGTGAAGGCGTTTTTTATCTGGAACACCCTAACCACAACGAAATCTATAGGTACGTTGCATCGGATTTTGAATGAGCAACACAAACAGTCGCTCTCCAATAAGACGAGTGCTCTTATATTTTAGCCAGCTAATAAGTCAATGTATTTTAGATACCTGTCGGCCAAGATGAAGCAAATGAAAAAGAAGCTTAAGAGGGCACCGTCCTTAACAGATGTTACAGAGTCGCATTTTCTCCCCATCTTAGCGATGGAAGCCGGATCAAGGAGTCCTCTCCCTCTGTCTTTTACTGCTCAGAGTTCGTTCCAAGAAACGAGCATGATTTCCAGTTTGCATTCCACTTTTCGCATTCCATCCCAAGAGCATTTAAATTCCAACAAAGAGGTTCCTCAGAAGCCTATGCGAAAATTTGCGCCTTCGAAAAATGACAACCAGAAACTAATGCCAAAGAACGCCGATAGCTCCCACATAAATGTCGATGAGCCATCGAGTACAGACAAATATGATACTGTAGAGACTAGGATAGATGCTTGGAAAACCTTGGGCATGCAGGAGCCGGCTTATTCCGACTGCGACGACCGACATCTTGTCCAATCAACAGGAGAAATCGCTTTGACTGAAAAGCCTAGGGCACCTGCTGTGATATCCGAGCCGGTTACGTCGCCACTCAGTCATTATTATGACCGTTTGCAGCATTTTGGCTCAACAAACGCCTTAAATATTAATCCAGACTACAAACTAGTGTCAACAAATAGGAGTTTTGAAAATCTAAACTACCCAAAAGATTCATTGCCTGATGGGGAAGAGCAGTACATTTCGTGGCCCTTCAAGCCATCAGCAGGTAGCTGTAAAGCGCCAAACGGGACGCAGGAGTTAACACAAGCTTTTGATGAGGAAGGTTACGACCACTTGAACTTTTTTGGTCAGACTAGCGTCTTTACTAGTCCCGATTATAAGCAAGTGGTTGCATCGAGTCCTCTACACTCGCTAAAACCTGCCTCCAATCTCTATGAGGAGATCAACACGATTGAACCAACTAGAGTAGCAGACGATTCACATTTGGGCTACGCTAGCATTAAAAAAGATAGCGCTGGCAGGGTGGTAATAGAGGATTCGACGGAAGAATCCCAGAGGGTGGCTCACCAATTTCAGAATCATCAGCCATACGCAATCATCAGTAAGCCGAAACGTGTATAATCTCAACTACAGATTTAATGCAGTAAGTTGTTACTTGATGTAATTCGAAACGCTTGTATTATGTTTGCAATAACTTAAAATTGCCTGTGATATTTAGGAACGGTGTAATTCGGTTGGGTCCTTCACGAAAACGCAGCAGGTCATCAAACAAAGATGTTGTTTTAGTAATCTACTTATAGCTAGAAATTGACTTGTGCAGGAATAATTAACTTCTAAAGAAAAAGGTAATAGTGAAACTTTTTTATGACCCCACAATCGACTCTGTTTTCACAAGTTCGTGCCATAACATGTATGTTTAGTCATTTCAACTCAGTCTACAGGCGTTTTTGTAACACAATTGATTTAACATGTCCTGAAATTGTACACATATATATTGGGGTTTAACTAATGTTACCTATTTTTTTAATTAACGCATTGTACAGTTTTTAACTGATTTATTCATGTTTGTGAAATATATACATTTACTTTCGCTTGTATGGAACAGTATTAAAAGAAAGTATACGCTTAATTTGTGTGAATGACAATTAAGTTTCTTCCATCCAACTTTATTATATTTATATACCGCTCATTACTGTAAAATGTATGTATAATATACAAATACTGGTAAGTTGATTTTATTCGTCATCCTATATTGTGAAATTGCGTGTATTGGTTACGAGATGTAAGATGATGTTTGAACGAGTCAAAAATGCGACGCTTGCGACGAAACAAATTGCTTTATGAAACGCATCGAACGAACCGATAACTGTTTAGAGAATTGTTACGATTTATTAAATTATTTACATTGCATCGAGCAGTCAGTTCTAAGCTTATTAAAATCCAACAACCATCGAAAGTTTTACTGCGGATGTGAATACTCAGAGTTCCAATCCCTTTCGAAAAGGGCTTGTAATTCGCTTCTGATCGTTGTGTGGTTGGCATTGCGATCGAAAACTGGATCGTGCAACACAAACGAAACGCCGGCTGTATCAGTGAAATAGTCTCCGGACCAATTCGAGGTCCCTATGAAGGCTGTATTGTCCGTTACCATATATTTGTTGTGATTGACTCGGGCAAATGGAATTTTTCGCTGGTTTTTGTCAGCCGGTACTATAAAACGACGCTGAAAACGGGAATTTATTATTTAGAGAGCGAAATAATTGCTCAAAGTATCTGCTAGAGTTCCGCCTATTACTTACAACTTCAATGGAAACGCCAGGATACGCTTGGTTCACATCAGCTAGACTCTTTAAGAAGTAATCCTCGGCACTTCTCGAGTGATTCCACTTGCTAATTAGCAACTTTACTTTGACTTGGTTTTCGATGGCAGCTTTTTTCAATGCATCGTCAATAACCGACCAAAACACTGGCTTGGGTGTATAAATCATTAATGGAATATAATCCATTACGGCTATGTACACAAAGCTTTCGGCGTGTTTGATCACATTTAATAAGGCATCCACGTCGTTTGTTCTGCCAGCTGGATTGAATGGGAGGGGCGAACTCTAAATAAGGTATGATTGATCATGGTAGAGAGGTACTTGTTTTAAAATTATCACTTACCGATAAATATGTCTGAAACGATTCATTTCCATAATTCATATTTAAGGGGCTGTTCAGGTTGAATTTTGTGGAAAGGTTGGCAGGCCAATGATCAGGTACAACAGAGTCATTCTTTCCAAGACTCCAGTATACCTAACGATAAGACACATATACTATGTTTTTTCCAAGTCTGACCGAAAGAAAGTTGAGACTTTATGTTGTTTTATGAATGGCAACAATATTTTTTCGAGACACTCCAGCGTAATTTTCGGTGTTTATCGTTCCATTCGTGGCAAAAGATTTGCTGAGCTCCCCACAGCTACACAAGGCTTGCCACACGAGAAACTTTGACTTTTTCTTTAACGAGGACTTTCTTCACTGTTTGTGGGCGTGTGAATCCAACTTTTCCTACCCGAACCCATTTTTCGGTTACCATCTAATGCTTGCTTAAACAGCTTAATTGAACGTTTGATATGGTCGTTCCATGAACTTTTACCTATGATGTGACAATTTTTCGATGAATTTCCATTTCGAATTATTCATCCACGCTCTAATTCAGAGTCATTTATGTACTGAAACATATGTACAGTTCGATGTTTAATATGACAAAATCATTTAGAGGTTCTATCGAAGAGCCTCTCATGATTGATATTTTAGTTTTTGAAGTGATGACTTTTTATGGGAGGGTGAACCGATTTGAACCACTCCGGCCTCTTCGCGCCTGAGGCTTGGGACGCACAAATGCACTTTTTTGTTAGTCCGGGTGCATCTGTAGATCTGATAAACTTTTCAAATGCACATATTGAGTGTGATATTATTGTGTTCGGTGTAGTTTATGTTATAACGCTGATAACAATGAATCAACAAATTATCAAGGGAGAAGCTGCAGATACTGCAAATACTAGGTTAAGGGTGTTCATCTACTAAATACCTGTTCGAGTTTCGCCTTCTTTTAAATTTCCAATTAAAGTACACACACAGTTATACACACTAAAGCAGTTTAAGTGCAAAAAAATGCGGATCGTCCATCAATTTGCAGAAAAATGTATTACAAATTTTTAAAATCATCTTCAAACGGTCAATTTATGAAAAGTGTCACAACCATTATTAATAACATTTAATGCGATAATATGTTCTATTATTTGTTATTTTATTTTGTAACAATAAATTATCAATATTTAGGTATCTATTTTGTAATCTTTCATATTTAACATAAAATGATAAACATCATTACTGTTTTGTAATAATATGTAATAAATATGTTTTGAATTTAATTGAAAAAATATTTGAGTTTACCTCGGTTATTTCAGAAAACATGGGTTCCGTCTTCTTATTTTCCATCACGCAACGCATTCTTGATGTTAAGACGATACGAATCTTTCTTCAGCTTATAGTTGCAAAATATGTAAAACGAATTTATTAGGGCTTATTTTCAATTCTCTATATTATTTCTATGATTAATTGTGTTTAGCACGCTTCGAAATTGATTTTTTCCCCTCATATGCCCTTTGATTCCTTTATAATTAAATCTAGTCATCAAAATCGATGGTTTACATTATGTTAGCTCTTCCTCGTTTTACCGTCTATTTTAAACAGATTGAACGTCTTCCAATCACCAAAATTAATTGATTTTTAGTCCTATTCAGATATAAGTTGTAGCAGAYGTTCATGARCAACATACACAAGAGCAGTCACAAAWACATGCTAYAATGCRAAAAGTATTAAGTAATGCTGAACGCCAAAAACGATTTYGTGCTAAAAAAWGGAKCATTAARTARTAGATCAACTCAAAGTAGCTTTCATCAACCACGAACTAGTGCTGAACGTCAAAGATTATCCAAAGCAAATAAGAAATTACGACTAAAAAATACAGAAACTCAAGAAGAAGAGTTTACACAAACCCAAGAAGAGCAATATGTACAACATCTCGTYAAAGAATGTTAAATGTTGCAAATAAAAGATATTTTACAATCAAAAGGAAATTAAATKAAATTTTACCTATTCCTGATCCATTTAKAAATTATTAGACTAACACGAATATTAAAATTRTAAAATAAAATWATWATTGCCATCATGCGTTAAACAAGTTCAATATTTTATGGTTTCTATTAGTTAATGAAGTTCTTGTTCTATYAGTTAATGAAGCTTCTGTCGAGCGTCCCGTGACGCACACCATTTTTTTTTATTTTGTGAAGAGTTTATCTTTCGSTTTTTGGGTGKAGCGGWTTTATCKGACTCGGTCCTTAGTTAGCAGCAATAGCAATATTCGTCGKCGAATAATGATGACAATTTTCACGCACCAARAATTAGAGTTTAAAACTGTTTCAAAACATGTACTCACCTCAAAAATTTTTAAAGCATCTTCTCCAATAGAAGAGCAGTTGAAGATTCCAATGCCCAACTCTTTCACCTAAAATGCAATATTTCCGTTTTCACTTAAGATAGCATTTAGTATTTAATATACATATAGTTTTTAATGGGCATTCGCATAAGAAGAAAAATCAATTTTCTTTTTAGGTCAAATATCGATCGACGATTTGAGTCGCAGTCGAAAGGTGCTCTTAAAATGGCTTTTATAGTAAGAGTAAATATGTATCACTGTAATTTATCAGACTCACTTTAACGTTCATGAGAATGTGATTGTCATCGAAGGCAAATTACTAAGTAGGTCAAGCGATGAGTGAAGTTAATATTTAAAAAAGCTATTGAGAGGCATAATCATAATCACAATACATAATCATTGAGATCAACTGAAACCAATAAGCGTTTCTAGACGATGTGCGCCAAAACGGCTCAAACTGGAGTATTGAAGAAATATTCGGAAAGATAATCAGAATAGCTGAGACGCTACATATCTGAAATTAAATCTTAGTGGTCACCTGCGTTAGAGACCGCCAATCCATATTCGCACTGCCCACATAGAGATGCTTCTTATCGACGATCCACAGTTTGGTGTGCAAAACACCGCTGCCCAATAATTTGGCAAAATTGAGACTTCGCACTTGGGCCGCTTTCCGCTTGACTAGAAATTCGGTATCCACATTGGGATAGTTGCGTGATGGAGCGTTTTGGGCTATTCGGATGGTGACGCCACGATCAGTGCCCGCCTTTAAAAGAGCTTGAAATATTTTCTCACCCTGTAACCATCAGCATTAAATTATGCCACAAACCATCCGTTCCAAACCGCAGGTACCTTGATGGAAGACGGATCCGGGTAAACCTCGGATTGCCTCAACGTCCAGTACAAGGAAGCAATATCAATGGACTGTTGAGCATTATTTATTAGGTTCAGCCAAGTATCAAACGTAGAAGGATTGACTAGCGACGATTCATTAAAGATTAGGCCTTCGGGTATACTTTCCACTAACGTTAGGCTAGAACAATGCGAATGTTGCTCATTTTCACACACTGCCAAAAAGCATCTTACCTGCATGAATTGCACGCATTATTATCATGACTGTTGATCTGATCTAAGGCCCTTTCGGCTGCATGATCCAGCACGGGCAGTAAAACTACTAGGAAGATAAGGGTGCAGATGATCGTAATGGGAATGCAGGACGGTCGACACCATTTATTGTTTCCGCCCCATCTAAAAGAAAAAGTCTAGCAGCCAGTGGTTCAGCTTATTTCATTAGGTACTAAACATCGGTTTGCAAACGTTTTATTTCCGATATACAATTGTTAAGAAGGTGCTTGCAAAATGGACATATAGACTAGATAGGATAGAAAATGATTCGAAATGCAAATTAATGAAATTAATCCTAATTGTACATACTTTCCTGACTATATTTTCTATACAGGCTTGCTCATTAGTGTGTCAAAGTGCGATATCTCAGTAAATATGAAGTTTACAAGAAAATTCGTCCAACGAAAGTTTTTTATGTTTAAAAGGTCCACATTTTAAAATTACTTTCCAATATACAGGGTGCATCATAAACGTGTGGTAGTTACCAACTTTGGTTTTTTAAATAAAACCCCCCTTTTTTTTGTTATTTTCAGATTGGCCGTTCAATTTTAATTTATGTTTGTTTCAACCGTTTTACTGAGATATCGCACTTTGACGCACTAATGAGCGACCCTGTATATGCCAAGGCTTAAAGTAGCAACAACGCTACACATAGAAACTGATGATGGTGGAAAACACCGAAACGTATTTTAATTGATAAATAGACAATAAATGACTGAAGCCCAGATTTTCATTTGGAATTAATCCTAATTCATAAAGGGTTTTCTTCTGTCGCGGTTTAACTAGCAACAGATCATCGTTTTCATTTTATATTCGTCAAAATCAAAACGATTGCAGAAACAAAGCCGAAACAATTTCAAATCAATTTGAACGCCGTAGATGGAAAACGAATCCTTTGCGGACGGAAGGGTATCGATTTACGTTAACAAAGAAACATAATTACAACTTAAACAGTGCGAGGTGATGTTCCTGTTTGGAACAATATCATATAGGTGAACAACTATCATATAGGTGAAATAGGAATGTGTAAATTGTAAGCAGCTCAATTAAAAATTTATGAATGGATAATCGATTTACAAGTTGATCAAATCAATGAAGTTACCTATCGGGACTGCCATCATGATCTGGCAGCGAATACGATTGCGTCCACAAGTCATGTTCCGGAGGAATTAAAGATGTTGGCGTTTCAGGAACAGTCTGAAATGAGCATATGGATTTTATTTTTTTTTTAGATTAATTTTATTTAGAAGCATGAATTAGACTTAGCTATTGCAAACAATTCAATTTTTGGACTTACTTTTGATGCAGTGTTTAGAGTCACTTTCATATTGTAACTGATTTTCCAGCAAAATATATTTCAACGACAAAGAATATGTATATAAGACTTACTACTTCTATAAGCGATTATCATGTCTTAACTATCAATATTTATGTACATGTATATTTTGTTAATATTGTCAACATAATCAGCACAAATGTAAACTGTAATTCGATCACCAATAATTTAACGTAATGTAAGAGGATACAAACATTAGGCCAATTTAACAACAAACACACGGATCTGCGATAACATATAATCTCGTATGCTGATTACAAGAATCAATGATGGTAGGAACCAAAGATAAGACAAGGTAGTAGGATAGGTTAGTAGTAGTGATGACAACATAAAACAAAACAAGAAAGACAAGTACTTGTCTTTATCTATGAGTACTGTGTCTAACTGTAGAATAGCCGTTGCCAAACATACTTGAAAGTTGCTACTTACAAATGACGTAATAATACATAAACAGTTTACAAAGCGGAAATAGCAATAATATTGATCAATTAACATTTTCCTATTTATCGAATTATTGAAAATGTTATTTGTTCTGTTATGTATAGGTATGTGATTTGCATTTATAAGTTAAAACCTAATTTTTATCGCTATTTTTTTTCTAGACGACAATAATTTGTTATCAGTAATTTAGCATCGCCTCAATGACGAACCACAAAACATGGAAAATGTGGTTTCTACTTAAATTTGCTGAGAAGAAGAACGTTGCACCACATATTGTTTTGTCAACTCTGTATTGGAGTCTAGCTTGCAACCAGCTACACACACATATGTATACAAAGTGATTCAAAATTGAGGTCATTCCACTGGATGGGTTGTTTGGGGATGTTTTAGTACAGAAAAATAGTAAAAAAATAAATGGTTATTAAGAACACAGAAATTTGCAAAAAGCTATATCAGAAGGATGACAGGAAGTTTGTCGAGGTAATATGGCCAATTAACATTATGCAAAAACTTGTTGCTTCGTAATTATTAAAAATTCCGGTAACCATGAAGAAATGGAGAAAGTGACAATAAAATAGATAAGAAGAATAAATAGTGAATTCAACAGGATTCGTTAAATGTAGGATCTACTTTTCTCGAAATGTCAAATTGTTAACGATAAATTATTCTTAGTTGTCATCACTGAACTGAATTTTCAGTTCTTTCTTTAACTCAACAAAACAAGTTAGTGCCTGTGCAATCACTTTTTGATGCACTCTTCTCGAGCAGCCTCTCGTATTCGGTTAATTAACTCCTGCTCAATTTATACCGGTGTTCACTAATCCATTGGTTTAATGTGATCTTACATACGTGGTAGGAATGTAGCCGGTATTTATTTGGTGCCTGGGAAAGTCTCAGTGGTTCTGAGGCAATGTTCTGAGTGCCCCTGAAAGGCTCATCTGCAATAATCTTCAATACTTGTTCCTCTCTGTCTGGAGCCCGAACATCTATTGTCGTTCACTATGTTCCAGTGTCTGCGGCCCTTTGTTGGCGTGAATTATTACAGCTTCTGCTATGTTACTGTGCATTTCCCCATAACTATAGTATATAACTGTAGAAGATAAGTTTTTTGATAGTATTAAAGTGTAATTTGAAGCAAAGATCGTAATTTTCCTAGATCTCTCAGATGCTTAAGTATTCCATGCTACCAATTAAACATGGGACAATTTGAAAATAATGCTTAATAACAAAGTTATACAAAAAAAAAACGCCCATGTTGAAGAGTCCTGTATCTGCAGTATCAAACAGAAAATAATCGAGAATAGCTAGGTTACTAGCTCCTTTATAAAACCAGAAGCTTTTAGCCGAAAACTTAAAAACCATAAAAAGTTCGGGAAGAAGTAACCGAGATTAATAAAAAATAGGACACCTTGTAGCTTTTGCCAACCATTTGCAACATTCAAGGATGTAAACGGAAAAGTATATATGTTAATTGTTAGTAAAAAAGCTGAAGAACATACGTGTAATTTCATAAAAGTCAGAAAAAATTACCGATAATCGAGGCTTATTTGCGAATCCACTTCGGTAATGCGATGGAGACCTTTTTCTTTCTGAGTCTGGACTGGGCGGAATTAGGACTACAAGCTGTTCTCTATCTCTACTGGCTTGGCTGGTCGATGCCGTTTTAGAACTTGGGGCATATTGATGATTCGTTTTATATGAAGTTCCCGCGCTACAAATAAATTTATTTCATTTACATATACGTAGAATGTAATTCGCACTTTGAAATTTAAATTTTAACGATAGGCTAGTGTAAGTAAAAATGTAACTAAAAGTTTGAGAAATGTGTTTAACTTGACTTCATATAGTTGTATCTACATACGTTCTGTAGGCTGATGCGGATTGTGCTGCATCATGTTCATTACATTTGAGCATAATTTACCTTTATATTTAAACAATAAGATTACAGAAGAAGAAGAGAGGAGGCAAGACACAGTAAAAAAACTTACAATTTGCCAACAACGAGTATTTTACTATCTTACTTAACTTACATCTTTTAAAAGTGATTTGCTATCGAAACGTGAAGGTAACTTTTCTAACTACAATTTAATTTTACAGCTTGAGCTTAAAAGTGTGTCTCGTGTTGTAGGATACCCACTATTAAGAGTTTTTTATTTCGTTTTGATAGGAGCAATGGTTATCAATTCGTAATAGAAGACTTAAAGAAATTCGGTCTTCAAAAAGTACAAAACACTCAACAAAAATATTTGTTTGCTACCTATATTTTTTGTTGCCTACCCGTTCACGTGAATATTCGCAGTATTATTGCCATAGCTGATATTGTTCGTGTTGTTGATGTGTACAAACAGACTGCACGTTTGGGACGCAATCTGAAAGAGACCATCCTGCAGATTTCTATGCTTGTCTTCACTCCTATCGCTGAAATGCTCCCAAAAATGAGGCATACTTACACTTCAAACGCTGAAATTTGAGAAAATTTAAGTAAAAAACCTCCAAATCTGAAAGTACTAGGCAATAATGTACAACTTCGCCTAACTCTTCTACGGGTTTGAGACAATCAGTGATAATGTATCATACCCAAGCATTCAAGATGTTTCTGTAAACTTTATATTAAAAAATTGTAAACAATTTTCCATTGATCAATTTTGGAAAAGCTCTGCAAAATCAAGCTGAGTGGTCTTTAAACGTAATGTCTACAATAAAAGATACCGCAAATGCTATAGCTGTCCAGAGAAAGACACAAAGCGCCTATAGCCGTAACATTTTACGATCATGAGTTATGATTTATCGGACTAATAAAATAGTTGGAAGGTTCATTAAAATGAGTATGTGCATAACAACGGGCTAATTTTTAAATTAATTCTTTTTATGATGATTTTTTTGGCATCGTATAAACTGTCTGTTTAAAAGCGAATGAAATGGCTGAAAAAAAGAATTTCTTAACGTTCTGTAGGTTTAACTAGCTGAATATTTCTCTAACAAAAGAAAAATAAATAAATGCAAAATAGTTATATGTCGGTCGATCGGTTAATAGGCCATGCAATGCAGAAGCCTCAAGTCACGCTCGTATTTTTCACGGAATGGTAAACTTATCGATCCAATGTTTCTACAGTTTTCACCCAAATCCGTTTAAAGTGTCAGACAAATGCAGACCACTCAGAAAGCACACAAATATTACAGTAATATTTTTTTGC